AAAGCGTGACATTACAGAAATGAAGAAAATATTTTTGTCCTCTGTTTTTCTTTTTTGCCCTGAAAACCCCCATCTCCTGGCAGGTTGATTTACTTGCCCCAACCCTTCACCACCAGGATGCACCAGCAGGGACCCCGGCAGTTCCGGAGGGAGCCCACCGACAGCGACTGTCCTCAGTGGCTTCCGCCAGCTTTGAAGAGAACACACCAAATCCCGTGATTTGATACATCACAAAACGCTGTAGATATGGTTTCTCAATTCACACGTATAACACAGAAGCCTTAGCAGAGAAAAGCGTTTTAACATGTAATTCCTTTCCATGTCCTGGGAACAGTTCAATTCTGAAATCAATGACAAACCCTTTGTGTGACCTACTAAGTAAGGTCCAAGCACGAAATTTGAAACCCCACATTTTAAAATATTTATGCCACTCACATTGAAAACCTTTTTCTCATTTATTCCTTGAAACAAATTTTGATTCAGTCATTATCCCCATATTCTACAGATCAGAAACAAAGACACGGCAGAAGCAAGACCCTCACAAATCCCCCAATTCAAGTCCTCCTCCCTTCTTCCTCAGTTCTTACTGAGCCAAAGTGGTGGGCGCACCATCGCACTGATTTATGTAGAATAAGTTTACGATTAAAATTACATTTATTCACAGGACATTTTATCAAAGAAATTCCTGCCTTCCAAAGCTCAATGATGATTTCTGTCTCTAGGATGAAGTACTTTGAAATTCTATAATTCCTTACAAATTCACAGATAAAATGTATCTGTAGCAAAAACATTAAAGTGTAGAAATTACATGAAATGAGCCTTGACAGAAGAGAAAGAAGGGTGTAAGACATAGGGCTTCACAGCTTTTATCTTAACTCCCAGGGTAATGGGAAGATCTTATGTGGATACATCAATTCTTTTGCTCAGAAAAAAAAGGCGGGGGGAGAAATGTGAGAACTAGACCAAAACTATATATAAACATCTGAATGAAGGGATCAGAGAACCTCCAAGACAATGAGTGATCGTGGGGCCCAGGGAGGCCACCTCTTCCCCTGGAGGCACCACTGAGGCCCAGAGAGCATGTGTCCAGGTCCGCTTTCCCCAGACTCTTGTGGGGTGAGTCTGTCCAAAGTTCTGCTCTGCCAAATCTTTGCACAAATTTTTGCTAATATTTTTTTTCGTCATTTGGCACAAAATTGGGAGTCCATGACCTACCATTGATGAGGGTCCCTGCTAGATTCCCAGGCTGTGCACAAAATGTACATCATCTTCCCAGAAGATCGAGGAGCGTGTTTAACGAAAGTCAGCATTCATTCATGATAACGGAAAAAACAAAACAAAACAAAGCAAAACTCTTAGCAAACAACAGATCAAAGAAAGTATAAAAATCTGTTAAAGGATGTCATAAGGAAAGAAAAACAAAATACTATCACAAGTGATGAAGTTTTGGGTAGTGGGGGTGCTCAGAGCCCGCAGCCAAGAAAGAATTCTTGAAGAAGTGATTTTGTTAAAGCACGGGGACAGGACCTGGGGGCAGGAAGAGCGGCCCTGGGGTTGTGAGGAGAGACTGGTCATATACTGTGGAGTTGGGGGAGGTGAAGGCCAAAGGGAGGCCTCCAGAAGGATGTTCATGTGCGAACAAGGACTCAGAACATGCTGGAGGCCCCGCTAAGGTTGTTTTCCTTCTAGTGAGGCATTAACATTATGACAGTTTGCCTCAAGTATTTGTCAATGCACCGAGGGTTATAACTTTAACTTTATCTGCCATTTCCTTCTGCCTTGTTCCCCACATCACTATGGAGGGTGTTGCTGCGGCTCCAGGAAACTGAGTCCACAGGTTTCCGGAGATTGGGCTATTGATAAGCTTGCCTTTGCCTTGTAATTTACCAAGACATTTGTAAACTGATGGAGACTCAGGTCGTGTATGACTGTGATCTCTGTCAGTTAGACGTTTGTTTTCTGCCCTCTCCTTTGTCCTTGGGCACCAGGAGTGCCTGAGGAATGTCACACACATCCCACCTGGGTGGGGGGGGTGGTGGTGGTGGTGCTAGCTTGTGCTGGGCCCTCAGTCTGCCCTATGCTCCCTCATCACAAGTGTTATTCATGTCAGTGAGTTGGCAAAAGCCTTCTGTCAGACTGACAGTGACGCCACGATATCCACTGTCACATCTATACTCAGCACTGTCCTGGAAGTCCTAGGCAACTCAAAAGGCAATAAGAAGTGATGAGGGAGCATAAGGCAAGCTGACACCCCACAAAAAGGCCACCCCCAGGTGGAATATGTGTGGTATACCTCAGGCTCTCCTGGCTGCCCAAGAATAAAGGAATGTGGAAAACCAATGGGTAAGTGATAGAGGTCACAGTCCCGCGGGACAGTCTCCATCAGTTTACAGCTGTTTTCATGATTTACAAGAAAAAAGGCAACCTCCAGAAACCTGTAGACTGTGTTTCCTGGAGTCCCCAAATCACCCACCCCTCCATGGTGATGTGGGGAACAAAGGCAAATTAAATTCCCTTATAACCTGCAACCCATGAACAAATACTTGAGACTGGCAGAGTAAACCCCCCTCCATGAACTCCCTACTGTCTTAATGTTAATGCTTTGCTAGGGAGAAAAGTAAGTTCCGCTCAGCAATAGCCAGGCCTCCAACATCTAGTGAGTCTTCTTTAGCATATGAAAGTCCTTTTGGGAATGACCCCTTGACTTTACCTCCCCCCCCCCCCCCACCGGCTCCCAGGTCTGTGACCAGACTCTCCTCACAAGCCCAGTACAGTTCTTTCTGCCCATGGGTCCTGTCCTCGTGCTTTAATAAAATCACCTCTTTTGTACCAAAGATGTCTCAAGAATTCTTTCTTGGCTGTTGGTTCCCGACCCCACCACCCCTCCAAAACCACATCAGCCATTTATCAGAAAGTTAATAAAATTATTTATTTAGTCAAAAATAAATGGAGGGATAGCTCCCCGGTGGTCTTTCAATAGCTCCTACAGGAGCCTACAGGTGCGGGAGAGACAAGAATCACGGATCACATCAAGGGTTTGTCCTAAACTAGAGCAAAGCTGGAATTGCCATTGGATGAAATGGGACAAGTCTAGTCCAAACAGATTTGCGGGGGTGTGACAATGGACACCTGCAAGTATGAGCTGCCACTTAGTCAGTTGGGAGCACATGCTGAAGAGCTGCTGGCCGATGTGAGCCTGAGGACGTCTGCCTGGAAATGCAAATACAGAGGAGTCTTCAGTATGAAGGTGGCATTTGACACAGTAGGAGATGAGATTGACTTAGGGAAATGTCACAGAGGAAAAAAGGCTCGTGGATGGGACCCCATGAACCCCATCGCTTAGGGCCAGGAAGAACGAAGCTTTGAGTGACACCCTGGAAATGCAGAGCAAGATGGAAGAGGGAGGCTGGGAGAAAGTCTGTTGTGGGGGTGCCCTGAGCTAGATGCTACCCACAGGTCATGCAAATTGAGGGCTGGGGTTAACAGGAGGGTTTAGCAACACCAGTCATATATGTAGCATTGATTGTAGGTAAATATACTAGAAGCTTTCCAGGGATTGCTCTAGGGTGTGAGTTAATTCATGGCTAGTTTTCTTTTCTATGTTTCTTTTTCTTCTCTTTTAATACATTCTGAATTTTCCAAGTTTCACATAGAGATGAATTATTTCATAGTTCAAAAATTATGTTTCACCAAGAGCACTTACAATTAAAGTGTAACTTCTTCTTTGAAAAGATACGGAAATAAATAAATGGAATGTGTATGTATATGTTCACGCAATGGAATGTACATGTATATGAACACGCAAACAAGGTGGGGATTAAATGTCTCGAAAGAAACGGGTGTAGGACATAAAACATGTAATAGATGATCACTATTTCTTGTGGTCAAAAATTATTTGAAACATCCCAGCTAATTTCTGCCACCAGGCTAATGTCTACATGTGCGTAATCCATGCAACCAAGTCCCCCTTTAGTTGTCACTGATAGGGTGTTCCAAGCAATGCCAAGGGGTTGTGATTGGGCTTCCGTGAGCAGGAAGAAGACGGGGAGACAACATAAAATAAGAAAATGTGGGTTCCCATCCCCACTACTCTGTCCAAAGCAGCTTTGGGCATGTCACAAACATTACATTCCGTGGTCTCTTTATGCATAAAGCAGAGATAGCTCTATTTGCCTTATTTTATCCAAAATTTATGAAAGAATCAAGATAATCAAGTTTTGATACTGTATCTGCAAATGTTTTGTTAAATTGAGTAACACACATGTCATTTTATAGAGATCATTTTAATTTTCATGGTTACTCTTTTCATTCAAAATTGTAATGAGAAACTTCCCAAGTTATTTGTCACAGAGAGTTTGGGCTGACATAACAAAATACTATAGACTGGGCAGCCTAAACAACCAGAAATTTATTTCTCACATTTAGTTCTGGATGTGTGGATTGGAGTCCACAATCCAGGTACTGGAAGATGCGTACTGTTCTGAGGCCATCATTCTGCTGTGTGGTCACCCGACCTCTTCCTTGTTCAGGCAGAGGGACACAGGGCTCTCCTGTAAGGACACTAATCTCGTCACAAGGGCCCCAACATCATGACCACATCGAACACTCATCACTGCCCGAAGGCCCTGTCTCTAAATACCACCACTCTGGAGGGGTGGGGGGCGGATTAGAGCTTCAACTTATGAACTTGTTGTGGGCGGGGAACACAAACATTCAGTCCACACATACTTGTCCACTTAAAGACAGAATTCCCTTCCAGTTACTCATTCATTGGAAAGAGAAAACTTTTTTTTTAATAGTAAGAGGATAAAAATCTCTGTCCTCTCAATTGACCCAGGGTCTTCAAAAGAACAATTCTATTAAAGCAAAACTTAAAATCTCAGTTTTTATTTTCCATAGTTCCTCACCAAACTCAGCTTAAACCCATGTGACTCTATGAGGGTGTTCATTCCTTTTTTAAATGAGTTTTTGACTCTCTTAGGACATCTAAGATATTAGCATTAACACTTTTCAAATGCCATTTATTGTCACTCCAAAAATACATTATTTGCAGAGCTACTGGATGACAAGCTGGAATAGCACATCCTTAATGGCTTAAGTAAAAGAAAAATATATCAATTAAAGCACAGTTCTTTTATAAAAAGACAATAATTAACCAAATGCCCACGTGTTGGCAGATACTGTTAATTCACAGCAGATTTAATTTGGTGGCAACACCACTGATTTTGGAAGCGAACATAATTGGTGCTGCAGACAGGCTGGTACTAGAAATAGGGTTTTCTTATGTTGGAGGCTGAGATGTACTGTTGACTAAAAACATTCATTTCTATAACCAGCAACCCTGAAGGCATTCTTCACAGAGAGGATCAGAGAACATTCGTCTCCATGGCAGCCCAGCCTAAGCATCTGTTCTTGCTTTTGGATGCTGGATATTGTTCAGCTGAGAGGCCGCTGAGGCACAGCTCTGTCACCAAGACATAAGTGATTGACTTAATATCCCAGCTTAGAAGTTGGGTATTTGAAATGTAGCCATACAGATAATTAAGCATAGCTACTCTTCTCCCAAAACGGTGAATGAGACCAAAGTCACAGAAACAACCCATTTAGTCCAGCTTGCCAATCCCACAGGGCACTGCGCTGGGTGCAGAGAACACGTGATGTCAAGAGACTGGTTCACAGCTGCCATGGGTCCAAAATAGAAAGTGCCAGGTGAGGTAGGACAGGGCCGGGGAAACTTCGTGAGGGGACACATGACCCGGCCTTTGAAGACTAAGTCAATGGAATATTCCCAAGGAGGGACAATGCTGGAGGGGTATATAGATGTGTGAATAGCTCCATTTAACTGAGTGCACGGTAGTTAAGGGGAAGTGGAGGAAACATCAGTCCAAAAGGTGGCTAAAGCCCCTGAGAAGGATTTTGGAGTCAGGTTATACGTATATTTAAAGCAGATTGGAAGTCAGTAATGTTTTGAGAAGGGAATGATATGATCATAACTGTACCATGTGTATATTTTATCAGATAAACTAGAGGGAGCTGAGCAGCCAGAGGACATTGGTGCCATTTGGGGACAGTCCAGGCAAGGGGTGGTAAGGGCCCAAATAACTGTAACTTCAAAGGGAGTGCTGATCAAGGAAACTTGTGGGCAGTTCCGCAGAGCTTGATTTGACAGGACCTGGGGTGTCCACCACATGGAGTTTCCATCAGAAAGGGGGCCCGGACTCACAGTGAGGACTTGGGCCAGATCAGCAGCAGAATCGAGGAACACAAAAGGACTGGAAGTGAGATGAGTAGGCACGTAAGGACAGTAGCAGCAGTCGCTTGGTGATGCCTCTGCTTGGGAGATAGGCTCCTCTTGAAGGGGAGGCTGTTCGTGGCAGCAGGAGCACGGGAGCTGCTTTTCGGAGGGCTGGGGTCTGGCCCCTCTGCCCCTTGGAAAGAGGGCCTGAGAACACCTGCTCAGCTCTTTCAGAATGGAGAAAGGAACGTGACGAAGTTTCGCAGTGATGTTGGGGTTCGGAACTGGTGGCCAAGAAAGCATTCTTGAAGATGTCTTTGGTGCAAAAAGGTGATTGATTAAGGCACAGGGACAGGACCCGTGGGCAGGAAGAGCTGCCAGGACTTGAGGAGACACTGGTTATATACTATGGGGTTGGGGGAGGTCAAGTCCAGGGGAAGTTCCCGGTGAGATTTCATGCTAAAGAAGACTCTGGATATTGGAAGCCTCACTATTGTCAAGCTTAGGTTGATTTTCCCTCTAGCAAAGCATCAGCATTGAGACAGTGGGGAGTCCCTGGGGAGAAACGTTTTCTCTGCTTGCCTCAAGTATTTGTCAGTGGGCTGCAGGTTATAAAGAAATTTAATTCTATCTGTCATTTCCTTCTGCTTTTGCTCCCACATCATTCCCCCCGAACAAGTTTGACCCTTAAAATCTTCAGGGTTGCCAGGGGTAGAAGGTCTTCTCTTCTGTAAGTTCTTCCTGCTGAATAAGGGTGTAGAGATGTCCCTGCTTATGGGTCGACATTGGTCAGTTGGGGAAGATATAGGGGAGTTATGAAAGGCAAAGACAGCCAGTTCAGGGGAAACAGCAGATACAAGCCTTCTTGAGTAGAAAGGTTCATCTGTCTTCTGGAAGTTATGGCAGTGGAGCAGTCCTGACACCAGGCAGGGAGACAATGGAGAAGACAACAAAATGAAGTTAATAACAAGAAAAAGCTTGAATAAAAAACCTTTGTCAACTCCAGTCCATTACTGTCATTTGAAGAGAAATTTGAGATCTTCCACTAGTTCACAGGAGTTAGAACACGTGTCAGCTGGCCTACTAGATTCCTGTGAGGAAGGTCCGGGTTTAATTCTTGATACGTGAGCCCATGAGGAAGGCACCTCTAATTTTACTACAGTGGGGGTACATAATATGACCAGTGGGGGCCCCTCCATTTTGGAGTTAAATCCCCCACTGTATTAGACTTCCAATCCTTTAAATAAACCAGGTCTCCTGCGTTTATATGGGGTGGGTTGCTAGTAACTGTCAGATAAGGTTTAGCGAGGATACAGTTTGCATATTCATTTAGAGATATATGAATTAACCCGGCCTTAAGTGAATAATTTAATAAAGCAACGTAGCCTGTATCTATTGACAGGCCTATGGTGAGAAAAGGCTTCTCCAGGTACCACTGTTGGGGGAATCCGTCCCGTTTTATAGCTGTTTAGCAGCTGGTTCTCACAGGGAGAGACGGGACACCGAGGCTCTTCCTTCCAGGAAGCGGCTTTGTTCGTGCCGGCTCGGGCTCAGCAGGTTAAAACCCCACAAGGCTGAGCCCCGGCGCAGTGCAGTGTTGCCTTCTGTGCAATTTCTACTTCTTTGTCTCCCATATATGGTGACACATAGAGTCTGATTGGTCACAGTCCATTTTACTGAGTCGTGTCAGAGTTAAGCACAGGAGTTGATTGGGCCACGTTGCACGTTGCCTTCCTTTGTTCTGAGGAGGCCTCGTCCACATTCCTTAGGGAGGGGACCCTACCATATTCTCCCCTTGGATGCTTGGACCCCTTATGTTTGGTCAAAAAACATCATCTTGGTAAGAGGTTTATATTTCTGTAACATCATCACACGCGTGGCCATTCTCCTTTTGACCATTACCTCAAGGAGGCTGGAGACGGGTTGTATAACCAGGGAACCTTTCTCATTCCATCTGGGATCTCCTCCATGACTTTTCCTTTATCACCTATCTGTAGGCAGCACTTGCTCAGGTTAAACTTTCCACAAACTCCTCCCTCATAAGCAAGCAGGTAATCTGAGGCCAAGCAATTTTGATGGATGGCATTGAGCACTTTGGTTTGCTGCTTGGCTAGCAAGTTAAGAGCTCTGGCCGTCTCACTGGTTACAATTCAACAACCGCTTGAAGTCTGATTAGGCGGTTTAGCATGTAAATGGGAGTGCGGTAGCCCCAGGACCCATCCTCTGCCCAGGTGGCAGGGTCATGATACTGGATTCTATGCCCCGGAAGCCATTCATCACCTCTCCAATTGCCAATTTGTAGGGCACGTCTCCCTGTCCCCATACACTTGGACTCCCAAATGTTCCCCTCTGGCAAGTGGGAGCAGGAAGGAAGATGGACGAATAGTTCCCAGCACGCATGACCCTGACCAGCCTGAGGGAAGTACTGTATAGGCTGTCCTTCCACAAATCCAGTACGGTCCACCTGGGAGGATGGCTGCCATTCGATGGCTGCATGGACATTGTCCCAGGCCTCTCAGAGACAGGAGAAGTTAGACAAAGGGTGGGGATCTGGTTCTAGGAGATCTGGGTACCCCCACCATTTGCCGGGAGGTTGATTACAAAATCTTTGGCTGAGGCATGTTAAGCTTCCAACAGAAATGGTGAACTTTCTTCCCCATGGGGCAAGGCAGTTTTTCCCAATAAGTGAGGTTTTGAGGAGCCAAACCTGGTAGTAGGACAGGGGTATTCTGTTCCACTATCAGGTTCATGGGCATCTACTTCTCTAGCCTCCCATGGCCATTGATCTCCCATGTTGGTTCCCCCACATGCACAGCAAGAAGAGATCCTCAGGGTCTGGGCTATCGGTTCTTCTAAGGCAAGGAACAGGTTTCCTGTTGTGGCAGAGGTGGGGGGAGGGCTACTTTTTATTTACTCATAAAAGGAACGAAAGACATCATGAGTTGAGGCTCAGAGACCGTAACCGTCTTGAAATACAACACAGTTCCTGGGTCAGGGCCTCGCCCACATATATATACACCAATCCTGAGGCCATTTTCCCATTTTGGGTCTCCTGGGTTAAAGATAGTAAAATTAACGGGGTTACAGGCTCCCAGCCTACAGCTGGAGGTTGCAGCCCCCTTTTGGAGGAGTGCTACCTTATCTTTACCTTTCCAAGTGGCCCAGGAGACACAGCTCCAACAGGAGCCCTAAGCCCAGTGCCCACCGTAACACGTGGATGGGGGCAGGAACTGTTCACACATATATTTGTCATTGAGCTTGTATTCTCATTCCCACAGTAGACCTCTGCAATTGTGAACCAACAAAGGGTTTTTTGTTATTAGCCGAACACACATTAAAAAGTGCAGATACTGGCAGGTGGGGATTAGTAACCTGGGTCAGGCTGATAACCGCCCCCCCCCCCCACCCGGGGAGTGTCGAACCTCCAACCATTCCTCAGTTGGGGAGCACTGCAGGTCAAAACAAGTGTATCGACCCCCAGGTGGCTGATGGAATAGGTGATCTGATCGTGTCTGCAGGGCCCCAGGATCGTTCCCTGGCACGAGAAGTGGGTGTGGTAGAGTCAGGTGCAAGCAAGTCCCTGACCTCACCTGGTTGTGCGAATACATGGGTCACATGATGAGGAATCTAGGTGTACAGAAGGGGTCCAGATGAGAAGCAACCAACACCAAGGAGGCATCCTATCCATCAAAGGAAGGTGGTTGCAAACAGAGACCTCTCACCACACTCCCAGCCGGCTGGGGCGGCCTCGGCCAATCCCACGGTGAAGAGTAGAGCAAGAATCACAATGACAGTGAGACACAAGGGTTGACAGTGCATCACAGTAAGGAACAGATATGGAAAATAAGGCCAGTCTTTTGTTTCTCCGCACTGTCGTTTCCTCAGGCTTCTGCCGTGCGTACATCAGTCAGCTTCCGAGTGACTAAAGCAGGGCCGCAGTCTCCTGGAGCCCCTGGAGTTGCAGATTGCTTCTTCCATGTGGTCAGCTTGCCCGGCATTGGTGATCAGGAACGCACTCCCAGTTTCGAGAGGCTGGTTTCACTCTACTGTGGTGAATCCAGGGACCCATCTCAGCTACCTTTACTGTAGTAAGGGTGGACAAAATGACAGTGAACAGCCCCTCCAGAGGCGTTTTAGGGGTTGGATATTCTACTCCTTCACCCATACAGCATCTCCTGGTTTAAAGGGGTGAGCATCTATGATCAGACTCACGGGTAATCGGTCCCTAACCCAGTGGTGTAAGGTGGTTAGAGTAAAGCCAAGGGCCTTCATCTGTTGCCTTAGGGTTAGATTGCCTGTCTCATTTAGATCCCCCCTTATGCCTTGATAATGGCAGGAGGGTGCCCAAAAGGGATTTCATAAGGGGAGAACCCCGTCTGCGTCTTCAGCCTCCCAACTGCAGCTGTAGTCTGCCTCCCTGAAGGTCCCTTATCTCTCCCTGCCTAATGTTAACGCTTTCCCCATTTATTTCTCCCCTGGAACAGGCCTGTAACTGGTTAGAGAACACGGACGGAATTCCTGGCTTCTTCAAGCTGATAAGGGACGGTATGGGGGTACAGCAGTTAGAGTCCACCCAAGAGTCGGTCGAGTGGCCCACGGAACGGTTTGACAGGAAGGTTGGCAGGCATGAGACCGCATAAACACCTTTGCAGACACAAAGAGAAAAACACAAAGTAAAGATTATACTGACCTACAAGATGGCATCTTAAGATAATGTCCCCAGTTCCCAAACCAGTCAAACAATCCAGGAGAGACCCTGACTTTGTCCAGTTGTGCCTGAATGTCATCTATTGGTTCTAAGACTCTGTGATAATTATCAGTAATATTGAAACAACACATGTCAGGGGATCTCTCATAACACAGGTGATGGAGAAGCGGTAAGGAATCAACAGTGGTTCCATTCTCCAAGAGTCTGGCCCTAATGTTATTTAATTTTTTATTTAAAGCATCTAATGCTTGTGAGGTGTTATTTAGAGCTTTGCTGAATATAAACAGGCAGTTTGCTTTATCTCGAGGTATAAAACGTGTTCAAGACCCGGGAGTCCTACCAGAGAAAGAGTCAAGGCAGCTGTTTACCATTATTAATTTGCAAATGTTTTGGTATGCTGAACCTGGGTATTATTTTATAAAGTAGAGTTTTTATTGCTTCTTGTGCCTTTTCCATTTCTTTAAAGGGAAGGCCTCTACCCAATTAATAAAGGTATCAACTCATACCAACAGATGTTGGCATTCCTTTGACCTTGGCACGAGTGAGACCTAATTGTCACTCTTCCCTGGACAGCCTCCAGTTCCTTGATTGCCTGGGAGAGCAAGTTTGGGGTGGAGAGGATTATTTTTAAGACAGACTTCCCAGGCTGATACTACTTGCTGAAATGTCCTTGACAGATTCTTCCCAGTAAACATACTTTGGGCCGTTTGAGAAGTTTTATCCCCCCGCTAAATGAAAGGCCTGATGCCGGGCTTTAATGATCTTTTAGCTCTGTTAGCTCGGTAATTGTAATTGCCCCTTCTCTGTTTGTAACCATCTGAGGGCTGGAGACAGCGTCCATGAGTCAGACCCCAGTTTATTTCCTCGGAAGAGTAGGTGGGATTGAGTCTCCTTTAAAAATTGATATAGCAGGCAAGCTATTTTCCTGAAGCCTGGTATCTACAGCCTACAATGTCCAGTAATGTCCCAAAACTCACACAATTGTTTATCTATCCTGGAGTTAGTAGCACTATAGTCTCTAATTCAGTTATAATGTCCCTTCCTAGCAAGGGAGTAAGGGTCTCTGGCGTTATCAGGAAAGAATGAGAAAAAAATTAGTTTTCCCCATATGCATTCCAGGGACAGAGAGAAAAATTTAGTTATAAGTTTTCCAGAGACAGAAAATTACGTTGTATTTGGGTGGTTGGCCAGGAGTGGAAAGGAGGACAGAGAAGGTAGCTCCGGGATCAAGAAGGAAATGAACCGGCCTTTTAGTTACCTGAGTTTTCCAGTTACCCAAGGTTACGGGCTTCCGATAAACAGCCGGTTCTGGGGAGCCACCCTGAGGAGCCCCAGGCCCCATCAGTCCCTTCTGAGGACACTGGTTATCTGAGCCCTGCAGATGGGGATCCCCGAGGGCCTTCAGACCTCCAGGGACTGTCTGCACACAAGGGGCGTGGCTTGCGGGGCCTTGACTTCTGTTGTCCCTTCTGAGGGCAGTCTCATTTCCCGTGCCCTCACTGGCCACATAAGTGGCATTTGGTGCCAGGACATCCAGAAGTCTGGTCTGACACAGTGCATGAGGCCGAGACTAAGGCCTCAGATTTTTCTTAAACCTCCTTTCCTGTTTTCTTTTTTATTTTGATCTCGGTTGTAACCTCCCCGATTGGCAGCTCGTAAGAACTCCTCCAGGGCCCCTTCCGGGCCAACAGCTGATTTTTGCATTTCCTCTGAATATTTAGGACTGATTGAGTGAAAAATTTGTCCTTTAAAATTGTCTCAGCCTCAGGGGTGTCATATATTTATATTTAAATATATAAGTTTATATATTTAAATTTAAATCTCATATATTTAATGAGAGCCTCCCTCAACCTTTTCAGGAAGGTCCTCAGGCTCTCACTCTGTGTTTGTAAAACAGTGGCTTAATTCAGCATAATTTAAGGGCTTAACCTTAGACCTCCTTAACGTCTCTAAAGCACAAACTTGGAAATGGGGGCCATGCAATTTCTCAATGGGATGGGCATAGTCCCAATTAGGATCTTGGGATGGAACTTCTTGGGCCCCAGTAGGAAACCGGAAGTTCCTTATAGGACCTCCAGCCCCATGAAAATTAATCAGTTGTTGTTGTTGTTGTTTTTTCTCAGAGTTTATGGATCAAAATCATCCCAATTTTTCAGAATGCATGCCTGAGAGTATTGACCTTGGTTGGGGAATTGCCCATCTACAGGAAAAGGAGGAAGAGGCATCCCTTATCTTAATTTTCCATAGCTGGCCAGGAGAAGCCTCCTGTCCTGACCCTGATAGTTGGACAGCAGAAGAAGCCTCATCTCCTGGCCCTGCATTCTGGCTGGCTGTGCGACTGGCAGCCAAAAGCTTTGTCAGTCTTGCAAGGTGCTGGGAGCAGTCGCTCTTATACAGGCTTGACCCTACCTCTGAGAGCTGACCTGGTCTTCCTTGATTTCTCCTATCCCTCCGTTTTCCACCTGCAGGACTTTGGGGGTACCGACTGTGACCAAGCAAGACTTCCCTGGTTGTAGAAGGATGTACTTTTATTTTGGCCCAACAGTAATTGTCTTTAGAAACATATTTTAAAAGGCTGGTCAAAACCATTTTTTGTAAGGATAAAATCGGCCATCAAGGTGGGGCTAAATGGGCCAAAGTAGAGATCTATTCCCTTGCCCTTTTCAGCAGAGCCCACAGAAATATGTTCCAGCCATGTGGATAAACATGTATATGATGTATACATATTATTACAAATTGGCAGACACTGGGCTAAGCGTAGCAAAATGGCTCCTACGTATTCCAGTAAAAGCCCCCTATATATCATAGTTGTTGATCCCCTATGTGGCACGGGCATCCACTCCCATGCTAAACAGAAACAACAAAACGTGGAACATTTGGAGTCCGGCAGTGAGGACATTGTCACCGTCTCCCCAGGCTTTGGATCAAAGCAGGGGCAATTTCAACCAAGGCTTGAGTAAAACAACTCAAAAGGGCGTGCTGTCCTGCCCTTTCGGTTAAAATCATATTTTTCCCCCATCTTTTTAGGCAGACAAAAGGGGGAAAAAAGCTTTTGTTTACCTCTTTTTTTTAAATCAGAAGCTTACCAACAATCCAAGAAAACTTTGCTTTTTTAACAGAGAGTAAAGCAGAATTTTAATCTTATACTAGTGTACTTTTAAAATCCATTTATTTTAACCTTAGTCCATCCTGACCACATATAAAATTTCTTTCCAAAGATTTCCTTTCACAAACCTTCTACGACTTTGCTTTGCTTTGAGATTGTGACCTAAGCCCTTTTTTCTCCAAACAACCAGTCTCATTTGGGACAAAATTACTTTCTTTAACGTTCAACAGAAATGTATTCCCATTCCTTATATCTTTCTTACATATCTCCTACTTTTCTACATATGAGTTTCTTTCCTTATTTTTATCAGTGTTAATTACATTTAGCAGAATTTTAACTCTTAGAAACCTTAGTCTCCAGTGAAAACTAAGTGGTAACCAATTGTGGACTATCTGTTACATTGGAATTTTTTTAGATGGCAAACTTATGAATCCATTAAACACAAAGAATTTTTGTTACAGATCTAAACATTCTTAGTTAGTTAGTTGGTTAGTTGGTTTTTTAGCAACCTGGGTAAGGTTTTTGGAACACTTCTATATATTCATCAGGGTTATCTGAAAACTTGCCCAGGTCCTTTTGATTTGCTTAGAATCTTGCAAGGAAAATGGAACCTTTATGGGGCCAAATACACCCTGAGGCATTTCAGTCAATAGATACTTTGAACAGGACTTGATTTTAGGGGGAGAATTTTTTTTTTTTTTTTTTTTTTTTTATCCCTGGCAATCCTGGATAAGGAGGGCATGAGGGTCTAGCAGGTGGCTCTTCCCGAGGAGAGGCCTCAGGGGGCGAGTCTACAAATTCTTGCCTTTCTTGGCCCCTTGAAGGCAAAGAAAGCCTGCACATAAGGAACTTCTGACCATTTACCCTCTCCTCTACAACATAGATCTACCTGTAAGATAGTACTGTACGGAACACCCGCCTCAGGAGGCCAGGGCTCTCCATCCTCCAAGAGAAACTTCAGACGCCTCTTAGCATTGGCGGGTTCAGGATTAAGCCCTGGCCTGGATCAGACTCCCTAGGAAGTCCGATGCTGCCGTAAGCTGAACGAGGTGACAACAGAAGCACAGATTGGAGCTCAACACTCACTTCAGCCCTTTGGTCAGGTAGGAACCTTTCCTTCCTTTGTCTCATTCACACACAGTCCACACAGCAACTCCAACCTGCTGCCCAGCACCCAGCACCTTAGAATTGGGGCTTTGTTCCTCACTCCTTATGGAACCATTCAGGCACCTCTGGGAGGTGATCAGGCTCCCTTTCTTCCTCTTAGGGGCAGATCAACCAAAATGAACCTGGGTTCTTACCAGTCTGATGGGTGGCGCTTGCTGAGCTGGTTCCTGGGTCTCACGGGTTCCATTGCACACACACAGGGTCCTCGTCCCAGAGCGCCAGAAGGCTAGTCTCCTTTGGATCAAGTGATCCGCTGGTGCCAGGTGAGGTCACTTCTCCCGGGGCTCCGAGGTTCACACACCGATGATGAAGGAGGTGGAAATGCACTGTCTCCAAATCCCCAACGTGAGCCCCCATGAAATGTAGCAGGATTCTTGCACAGAGAGTCAGGATACTGAGGCTCTTCTTTCCAGGAAGCCCCTTTATTTGTGCAGGCACGGGCTCCATGGGCTAAAACTCCAAAAAGGTTGATCCCCAAGAGCAGTAGCCTTTTATGCAATTTCTATTTCTTTGTCTCCCATATATGGTGACACATATAGTCTGATTGGACATAGTCCAAGTTACAAAGTTGTGTCAGAGTTATGCACACGTGGATAGGTGTTGATTGCGCCATGTTGCCTTCCTTGGTTCTGAGGAGGCCTCAACCACATTCCTTAAGGAGGGGCTCTACCACAGTTTAAATAATCCTATGCTCATGGGTTCCTGTTATCCCCACAGAATAACAAGCACAAAGGTTGTGCATACCTGTGCTATTGTGACAATTTCTCTGAAGTTTACCTCAAGTTGTCCAGTTTAGGAAAATAACATTTAAAGACTATCAGAACTAGAATTTAACATCTACAAAGGTGCATTATTAAAACATAATTTTTCTCTCTAACAACCCTCATTTCCAGAGATAGCCAAATATAGATTAGTTTGTTTGTAAAACAAGTTCAGTTTTAACAGACTTGGCCTGATTATTTACATAAGCTCAGCAAGAGTAATGACTGATCATGTAGATCTTTTAAAGTTTGATTTGCTGGAACTTTTCATAAGGAATCTACATTGAACTTTTTAGTAGCCTCCCCAGGCCAGAAGCCAAGCCAAATATTTGCCATCAGACATGCCTGCAACATCTGTAGATTTGGGCGAATTCATTCTATGAGGTCCCAAAGATATCCTGGGTTCCTGCACCTGCCAGGAAGTGACCTTCTTTACTCACCTGGTGAGGCTGCTGGGAACTCTGTCAGCAGGTGTCAGGCCAACATTTCCAAGGGGCTTTATTGGCATCAGGCTTCATAAAGTCAATCTTAGTTCTTTAGAGTTGTCTGGTCATTTCTGAGTCTATGCATGTATCTCACATTTGACGTTCCAGTCTGGGTCTTGGTAAAATAACCAATGTTTCCAATGGTGTCTGATTCCAAGGAGAAGATTCTCATTGAACTTATGCAAATAACTGTAATTGCCATGGAAGAAAGAACACTCCCGGAGTTTGTGAATTCCAAAGTGTTTAGGTAGAGAAAAGTTAAATGCTTTAGTATGTTTACAGAGGAATATGTTATCCTATTATTGTATGTCATGGATATCTTGAGAAAGTTTCCTTAATATGGAGAGCACATATTGGAGCACCGGTAAGATTTCCAACAAAAGTCACAAAACTGTAAGAAAAAGGCTCAAATATGGACATGATTCAAGATCTGATGAGAGTTCCTTAGATGCAATTGACAAGGAAATTCACTTTCTGTGGCACACAACACATAATTGGAATATTAAGTGATGACCTTATATCAGAACATGTTATAAGTAGGAATTGCATATAATCTCTAGAATAGTTATAGCTTTTACTCAAATGTAACCTAAAGTTTACCATTATTTGACAGGGCTTTCCACTTAACATACCAAAGAAAAAGGCCTAATCGGTCAAAAAGGCTTCATTTATAATATAAGTCCTAATAAGGCTTGTTAAAAACCTTAGAAAGTTATAGAGCACATTCTAAATAGTATTATCAATCATTATAAATCTTTACTTATTTAACCAGGATGGCAATATGAGATTTCTGAAGCAAATATGTAGGGTTAGATAGCGGTTAGCAAAACTTAGCTCTTTTGACATTGAGAAGTTTTAACTAAGCAATCAAAGACTTGATAAAGACGAAACCTAAAGCTTTTGTATTTCAGGTGGGCAAAAGAGAAAAAAAATTTTTGCATATTATTTTTTATTAAGAGCAGATCAGGGTGCCTGGGTGGCTTAGTCAGTTAAGCATCTGACTCTTGGTTGCAGCTCAGGTCATGATCTCAGGCTTCGTGGGTTTGAGCCCTGGGTCGGGCTCTGCACTACCAGTGAGGAACCTGCTTGGGATTCTCACTGCCCCCTCTCTCTCTCTCTGCCCCTCCCCACTCATGTCTTCTCTGTCTCTCTCAAAATAAATAAATAAACTTAAAAAAAAAGAGCAGATCAACAATCCAAGAAAACTTTGTCTTTTGAACAGAGAGAAAAGCAGAATTTTAGCCTTATACCAGTGTATTTAAAAAATCCATTTATTTTAACCTTAGTTCGTCCTGACCACAAATAAAATTCCTTTCCCAAGATTTCCTTTGGAAAGTCTTTTGGACTTTTCCTTTGCATTCAGATTTTGTCCCAAGTCATTTCTCTCCAAACAACCAGTCTCATTTCGGACAAAATTATATTCTTTTACCTTCAATAAAAATGCATTGCCATTCCTTATATCTTTCCTACACATCTCCTACTTTTTTTACTTACGGAGTTCCTTTCCTTATTTCCATCTGTCTTAGTTACACTTAGCAGAATTTTAACTCTTAGAAACTTTAGTCTCCAGTGAAAACTAAGTAATAACCGATTGTGAACTGTTACACCAGAATTTTTTAGATGGCAAGTTCATGAGTCAATTAAGCACAAAGCATGTTTTCCAACAGACCAAAATATCCTTAGTTTCTCTGCAATGAGAAGTCAAAAGCAGATAAGCCTTATCTTTAGTAATCAGTGCTTTAGCACTTCATCTCATTTAGGAAAGACCTAGATGTCCAATGAATTTAATCCCATTTATCATGCAAGCAAAACTTTAAAGTTTCAGGTTACCAAAGATTTTGAAAACTATCTTAATTACCCATGAAAACTTCGAGACAGAATTAACTATTATTCTAAGTCATCTTTTTGCTAACAAATTACAACAGAGATAGCATGAGCTTATTTGAACTTTAGCAAACCTAGGTAGAATAAAAGTTTCATATTTAATGCTAATAACTCTAAAGACACATCTATCTTAATTAAACCAACAAGCTTGAATTAGTTTAAACACCAAATATTTTCCACTTGGGTCCACTTAAGAGACAATCAACATGTTCTCCATTGTCAGTTTTTACCTGGGACATCAGTGGGGGAATCTGAAGTGGGTGGTCCAAGGGGGTGCTCTTCACTCCTGATGCGGAGGGTGGACTTGGAGGGTGGGAGGAGGAACGATGGTGCCCAGGGCACTGAGGATGGTAGAGGAACCAGTTATGCAGACCACCCCCAAGGTGGTGCAGACACAGGAGGAAGGGGAGGGGAAGGCAGAAGAGATGAGGTGCTAGCTGACGGCAGAGAAAGAAGATTCCTTGTTCTAACCTTGTCAGCTGGAACAGAGGGGCACATACCACGTTTTTGTTTTGTTTTCTTTTCCACTGGCTAGTGGGATTAGGCAGTCCATGTCAGGGTGGAGAAGACCAGGAATTTCCCCAAAACAAAGAGAGTTTTGGCAGCTGCTCTGCTTGGGAATATTCCTTAAAGTCCCCATCCTGGGGTAGACTAACCAGTTGGCTCCAATTAGAGCCATTAACCTGGGAAATGAATGAGGGAGAAGCCACCACTATTAGTAACGGTGAGAGAGTTAGCACCCCTTCATTAGGGATGGCCTTTTTCCTCCAACAACTGAGTTCTATCAGGAGGAGGCCTGCTAGACATTCAATATCAGGAGGGAGTTTACTAGCCAAGCATATTCAGACAAAAACATTCTGCAAAAGGCCTTGATATATGGGTCCTGATTTAGAGCCATGAAGTCCTGGACCAAGGGTACATCTGTTCACTTGCCGTTTCCTGCAGAAGAGATCTTACTGCCAGATCCTGTTATGGGCATGCAGTGTTACAGAAGATCAGTCCTTTCCCAAATTTTGCAGTCCAAATTGCAAATCCAAAATTGTGAGTTAAAAGGCATCCCAAGGGAGAGTTCCTGGGAACTGAAGAGAGAAGGTCCATTACCACAAAAATCCCCCTGCCCATGACTCCTGAGTGGCATCCCACTCACAGGATATGTCAGAGGTTCCTGAAGTGTCAAAGTGACCCAAGGTGGCTTTAATTCATTTATTATATGAATAAATAATTCATTTATTATATGAATAAAATCCATATGATCACCGCTGCCAGTAGAGGCCCATGTAGGAGGCAGGCCTGCCCTCCCCTCGCTTCCCCACTGCACTCTAGACTATAAATGGGTGCTGGTATATGGAGCATGTGTGCCTTGAGGCAATGCTGCATTGTACTGTGGCTTGCCTTGCTGAGAAGGCCACAAAGAACCCACCATTTTTAACTCATGGAAAGCACTGGAAAAGTTTTAAAAAACCAATTATGTAGTTGAGGACAAAGATGGAAAACAGTAAAGCTAGAAATCCATCATGATCTAAGCAACATTCCAACACGTGTAGTCCCTAAGTCAACTTCCTAGGAAATGGTCCCAAGTTGGGTTTTAATTCAGTCAAGTACTGGTTTTGGCTGGCTCTGAACAGAGGTCCTGTGGCCAGAAGCAGCTAGACCAGGGATGTGGAGGGGATCGTATTACATGAATGAGGAGGAAACCTCATACAGGAGTCTTAAGATTGGGAGCCATGCTAGTGCCTTAGGTGATTGTCCCATGCCCAAGACAGACAACTTTGTATAAGGACAGGAATGAAGAGAGGGGATCAAGTTTCTGGGTCTTATTACCATTCCGGCCAGGGTACTAACTTCCAGCCAAAAGGCAGGCTTTCTCCTCCCCATAGAGTAGCCATGGGCTAGAGGATTGCAGCCTGAACAATCGACATGAAAGCATTCCAGTAAGACCAAACTTCTCAAAAAGCCCCTGAAATGAGAGTAAATGAAGAGAAAGTACTCACCAAGACTGCACCGCTCAGAGTCCAGATGAAAAGACTCATAGCCCCACATTGGGCGCCAAATGATGAAGTTTTAGGTGATAGGGTTTGGAGCTGATGGCCAAAAAAAGAATTCATGAAGATGTCTTTGATGCAAAAAGATGATTTTATTAAAGCACAAGGACAGGGCCCATGGGCAGGAAGAACTTCCCTGGGACCATGAGGAGACTATTTGGGAGTTGGGGTAAATAAAGTCCAGGGGAAGTTTCCAGTGAGATTTTCATATGCTACAGACTTCCAGGACACTGGAGGCCTGGCTATTGTCAGGCTAAGGTTGTTTATGCTATGCTATG